TTTGCACAATGATTTAGAGTGGTTCGACTTTCTCAACCAAAGTCTACGTCCACTATCTTAGCTATCCACACTAAGGATTTTCTAACAAATTCACTAATTTGTTCTTTCTTTTGAGGTCAAAGAGTAACCTTACAACTCCCTCAAGAATTATACCCCAAATTCTTGAACACACTCTTTTTCAAAGAGAAATACACAAATTTGCAAACTTACAAGGAAAACCTCACAAGGTAGATTGTTTGCACAATTCTATAACAAAGAAACAACACTCAAGATAAATACAATAGAGCACAAATGGTGTTCTTGATAGCACAATGAATATTGAATGAAAAATAGGCTTGAAGTGCTCAAACAATGAGTTTGATGCTTTCTCTTTGATTCTCTCTCAATTCTTGATAATTGTTGTTTCTTGTTGTTGATCAATGGCTTCTAAGATTGTTTAAATAATCCTTCTATTGATTCTAAACGTTGGGGATGATTTGTGGAGTCAATGGAGCCGTTTTAGTGTGAAATCAATTAATAAAACAGCTTGGAGCGTGGGGGAATCGGTACCCCCTCATGGGGAATCGGTACCCCCTCATGAGGAATCGGTTCCCTAAGTGTAAAATTCAAATATTGTGACCATTGAACAGGGGGAATCGGTACCCCCTTGGGGGGAATCGGTTCTCTCCGAGCATTCTGTTTTTCTCGTAGCCAAACCATTCAGGGGGGAATCGGTTCCCTCTGAGCAATCTGGAATTTTTGGCTTTGAAATGGTTCAAAATATTTTGTAAAATTGTTTTGAAATTATTTTAAGTTTAAAACTTAATTTTACACTTGAGTAAGGATTAAAAATGACATTTGAAAGATTTGGAGTAATATTTTGATATTCGAATAATTATATCGAAATACTTAGAAAATCTTTTGGAAAATCTTAAAATTCATTTATCTTAATTTGTTATATCGAAATATCAAAATGTTTTCAACATCAATTCTAACACTTATTACTTATTATCTCTATAATATAAGGTGAGTTGGGTTTCATCTGGTTAATTCTTGAAAGTTAGGTGTGGTTTTGATTGATGAAGCCTTAGGAAATAGTATGAAAATAGAAAGGGATATATAAACTCAAAGAATTGTAAGTTATGAATGATTAAATGTAAGAGGTCTATAAGTGGGAATTTGAATAAGAGTACATAAATGAATTTAAAAGTTGGATTTGACTTGTCATTGGTTTGAACGACTGGAGAAGAAGAAAATTGATGAGATATCTAGAAACTTTGGCTTTCCCCAAATATGTTCCACATGGTTATAAAATAACCATAACAAATTTTAAATTATTTCTTTTTCTCAAATGACCCGTTCGCCCCTTAATCCTCATTCTCTTGCTAAATTATCCTACATAAAAAATTTAATTAAAACCCTAAACTTTTCAATTTATCTAATTTAGTCATTGAATTCTAAAATCTCATAATTTGGTCATTAACCTGATGTTTGGGATGTTACAAGCATCTCCTCTTTCTTTCATATTTGGTCTTCCTGAAGAGAAGTGAAGCAAATCAAGTTCGCTTTTGTCTTCCTGAAGAGTAATGAAGCAAATCAAGTTCTATTCAATCTTCTCTGAAGAGTAGTGAATTGAATCAATGTTTCTTGATCTGATCTACCCTAAACTACAGTGGAGCAGATCTCTCTATTTTCCATATTTGATCTTCTTCAAAGAGCATTAAAGCAAATAAACCCTGATTCAATCTTCCCTGAAGAGCAACGAAGTGAATAACAATTTCCAGAACTGATCTACCCTGAAGCGCAACAGAGCATATCCCTTTTTCAAATTTGATCTTCCCTAAAGAACAACGAAGAAAATCAACCTTTATTCAAGCATTCTTAGAGAACAGTGAAGTTAATCAATATTTCCAGATCTAATCTTCCCTGAAGAGCAGTGGAGTAGATCCCTTTTAGCAGATTTGATCTTCCCTGAAGAGCAGTGAAGAAAATAAACCTGATTTAACTTTCCTAAAATGGACTAACACTATTGTTTTCATTCAAAGATGGTGGCGACCGAACAAAAATTTATGTCTATTTTTCTTTGCTCTATCCTTGTTCACACAAGAATGAGAAAAAAGGGGCAATTATAGACAGTCATTTTCGCCTGGATCTTTTGTTATTATTATTATTATTATTATTATTATTATTATTATTATTATTATTATTATTATTATTATTATTATTATTTCTTATAGGCCCTTACATCACCCAAAGCCCAACAGCAGACTAGGCCTGATTACAAAGGGTCAACTAGCCCTAAAATCCCATCAATCGGCCAAGCAGATTACAAAGCTCCATGGCCCATTATGTTACAACTTTGGTTAACCCTAATTTTAGGGTTATCCATCTGCACCGCGCAACCACCGCCGAAGTCCAATCACTGCCAAGAAGCCAGTCATCGATCACCTTAGTTCTACCAAATTCCCTGTTTCACCTAAACAAAATGGAAAACAATCAGTCAAAAATAAAAAATAATAAACCCCTAATCAAAACCTAATCCCAAAAATTCCAGGGCGTTCAAAGCCCTAATTTTCCTCACTTACTGCCCATACTCTATCCGTATAACCTACTCCCTATTCTCAATAAATGCACAAAGAAACCATAAAAACAAAGGGAAGAAATTCGAAAAGAGGCATTTGGATTCGGTTTTAAAAGAAAAAAAAAAGAGAACAAAGGGAGACATAACAACTGAAAGAGAGAAAAAAAGATTCGAACAAAAAATTAAAAATAAGGGAAGAAATAAAAAAGAAAAAGCCTACCTTTTGCGAGGACATCACTGTCGCTTCACCAAATTTATCAAAGGGTAATATTCTTTCAAACCTAGACTTAGATTTGAGTAAGAAAAGGTTCATATATTCATTTTTTGTTTGGTTTTTTGTGAGTTATAAGGAAAAATGGGTGTAGGGTTTGGTTACCCTTTTCATGGCCACTGATCTATGGTGGTCGGTGGGGACTTGTTCTTGTCTCACAGTGAAAAGAAAAAGAAGAGGGTGGTCATCAGCCCCTCGTTGTGGCTGTTTGGGAGGCATCTTGAGGGGAGGCTTATCTCCCCTCTCGGTCAAGAGAAACAGAATGAGAGAGAAGGGAGAGGGAAGGCTGGGTGAAGAGGGAAGAATGAGAAAACTAGGATTTTTTTAGGTTATAATAGGAAATATAAATGAAAACCAAAACGACGTCGTTTTACCCTAGTATCACCCGTGTTTTGGAGACTTTAGGGGTAAATAGTCATTTAGGTGCTTCGTTCTTTCTAGCTCTCTATTTTTATCCTGAAATAAAATGGATTATTATGTTTGGAGCCCCCTTATTTTCTTTATAATCGTGTTATAATCCTGAATGTTGTAGATATTTTTATTTATTGAATCTAGTATTTTGGTTATTCGTGTAAAAAGTCCTTAAATTTGTATGTCCTTTTGTTTTAACCATTGCTTGAAATTTGGGTTATTTATCTTTCCAGTACCCTATTTTATATTATTTGCATTGTTAATCCTTGATCTTTACTGTTTTTGATGTTATGGTCATAAGGTTATTTTTTATTCTGGATATCATGTTATGTTTTGTTAATTTATGTATGTATATTTTATTAGCGTATCGGTGTTGTGTCAATACATTTGTTTGCATAAATTTGGATTAATTATATTTTTTATATCTACAAATCATTTTAGTCCTTATTCTTTTTATAAATGTGCTTGTTATATATTTTTAAAGAGATTTTTAACTTTTAAATGCATATATTAAATATATTATACAGTGTCGTATAGATATATATGTTTATAAAGCTTTTTGTATATATATGTGTAAAATACATTTATATTATTTTGTTAGTGTTCAATTGTTTTAATTATCACATATTTTTAGTAAGTAATGCACATTGTCTATCGTATTTCAAAATCTATTGTATATTATGATTTTAACTTCCTAAGATGATATATGTATATACATAGAAAGTTTGTTTTATAACCTATAAGTTGTCTTACGTTGGTATTAATATATATATATATACTTTATAATTAATTACTATATATTAAGTATTATTTTGTCTGTCTAAATGTCATGTATATATGTTTGTACATATAGGCTCAGGTTTTATTTTTTATCAATTTGTATAATACCTCCATAAGCATAACTCAACTCAATTCAAATAATTAAACTAAGTGTAATACTTTTTCATTTTAAGGTCGTCGTGAAGTGACTATCTTAACGTATGAGAAAGCCACTTCCGATGATTTTAAAAAGAAAATGTATCACATTAAATGGAAACCGTAAAATTTGATTGCTCTTAAAATTTGGGAATGAGAGAAAAAAAATTGTTCTTCTATTTAAATTCTTTGAGAAAATATCTTTAGAACTTATAAAAGGTCTATCTCGATGTCTTTAAATAATCGAACATCCTTCTTCTTTATAAAATGATTGGTAAATCGTGTTTAATTAATCATTATTTTTATCATTATTCATGCATTTGAAACTTGAATTAGCAATGAATTTTCGAACGGAATAGTAATATTTCCTTATTTCGATTGGATTAAGAAATTGATGCTTTAAGGTATGAGAGACATTTTCTTCTTAATAGGAAATAATTAAATATTGTCATTTTTCATCCTAAAAATCAAGGAATGTGTTTAAAAATGGATCTTAAATTAAATTAAACTCAAATTTGTAAGATTCATTGCAAAGACAACTAATTAATCGACTAGGTACCGATTTAGGGCACTGTGGGGTGTTAATCCTTTCTCACGCGTAATCGAGTCCCAAACTCAATTTTTTGGTATGCAGACCTTAAAATGTTGTTTTAATAATTTTTAAATTAAATTTTATTAAAATAAAAAAAACATTTTGAGTGTCCAATCACACTCTAATCAAAGATTGGTGTTAACTTCTCGAACCATGTTTTATTTTGATTTTAAAAAAACCTCAAATTAATCGAGATGATATTTTCTAAATCACTTAAAAATTAAATTTGTTTTTTAAGAAATCGTTTCGACAAGTTTCCAGTTAGGAAATGATAGAACAGCATTGAAGCATAGAAAGGATCGATGCCGGGTGCCTCGTTATGGCTCAAGGCTCGGTATTTTGGACAAGTCGACGCAAGTGCGACACTTGCAATCGAGGAAACGGCACTTGAGGCAACCGAAACAGACACAAGAAGTGCAACATTTGCACGTCGGAGATTGAGGGCAACCCCTGCAACTCTTCCTGCTTGCTCGTTCTTCATCATCTTTGCAGGTGATTCTGAAATAATAAAGCTAGACACTTATCGGATTCGAACAGTGATTACTCAATGTCGAAACTTACTTTTCGTACGGCCAGTTAGCACACCTCCACCTCCTTGCATTCAAAGTATCATGGTACGTACGACGTTCATCGTCGGTCTGGAGTCGAAACCGGCGTTCTTTCTTGCGCCTGGTGCAACGGATGAACTCGTCACAATGGAAAAGGTGCTTAGCTCGCAAGCAGTTTAGCTCGTTGGCTCCGTTGGAAGCATGTTTGTAGTATTTGAGAACAGTCCTCCATAAAGGAACCTTGTTATTGTACATCACCACCCAAATGTGGCTCTTCCATTTCCCGGTCCCTTCTTTCCCAGAATGTTTTTCGAAATCATAAGCCGTCAATTTCTCTGGTTTTCAAGAATACACAATAAAACATGTGAAGTGAATCTCAACTAAACACAAAGACACTATAATTCTATGAAATTTACAATAATGAATTACCTTCATCGCAAGCCGAAGTGCATTCGGAGGATATAAGAAACGGGCCATTGGTTAAAACCCTAAGCCTACCAATGGTATTGCCATACTTTTTGCTGGTGCATCCATACTTATCCTCAATAAAATCTGACTCTCTTTTCAGTCCTTCCATGTCTTTCAACTCTCCTTCACTGAACATTTCTCACAATAACCTCCAAAAAAACAACAAAAGGATAAACCCTAACCACAATTCGTTTATTGACCAAAAACAATAAGGTTTCTTAATTGCATGGACTATACCAAATATTTTTTCCAATTTGATCAAAAAGGCCTTTAAATATGGAAAATTCCTCATAGCTTATTATATATCAAAACATGCATTATAAAGTCTTACATGATGGGAAAGGGGATTTGAACATTTATAGATTTTTCTAAACCTCTTGTATATATCATGTAATCAATTAATTCAAATTATTTAAAATAAACCCTAAATATTACATTTAATCATCAAAACATCTTTAAAATTGCTTCTCAGGTCGGCATATTTTGTAATAATGGATAATCACCTAGTTGTCTCAATTTCTCTTTTCAAATCAGAAATTGTGCATGTGTTACTTATATACATGTGTGTTTGGTGCAAGGTACAATTTAAGGCAATTCGACAAACAGTTCACGTCAGTCATATTGTTCGATAATTTTGAACAGGTTTCAAACATCTTTGGGTTATAAAGTATTCACTTGCACTATAGCAAAATAAATTTTTAGCGGCGTTTTTTAGTCATCTAGCGGCGTTTTTGAGCGTCGTTAAAAACCCTTCTGACGCAAAACAAACGTCGCAAAAAGTGCCGCTAAAACAAACACCAAAAAAATTTGCGACGTTTGTGAACGTCAAACACCGCTAAAGATTATGCTTTTTAGTGACTTTTGTTTCCAAAAATGCCGCTAAATGCTCTAACATATAGTGGCATTTGTGAATATAAAATGTCGCTATTGACTGCGTATATAGTGGTTTTTCTATATGAGCACCACAAAAGATCTTGAATTTTAGTGGCGTTTTGTTTTACAAACGCTAGTATTGACTATGTATTTAGTGGTGTTTTATTATACAAACGTCGCTAATTAAAACTGATTTTCATCTTAAAATGCCGTTAAACCAACCTAATTTGCAAATGTTATTTTCTGCTGTCTATTACCCAAATTTAATATCATGTAGCAATATCCAATAACAACCACCTTAAAATTTAATTACGACTCGGATTAAGTAAAAATAGTTGATATCTTCGCTTTTTCTCTCCTCTCTATAATTTCTTAGTTTGGATCAATCTTTCTCGCTATAGCAGACCAATCAGTGGCTCGCTGCTGTTAAGCTTTTGATAATTGATTTAGTATTATTTGGTTTTTAATATATTTGTTTCTTCTGAACATTTTGCAGATGAAGCACAAATTTGATGCTTTAGAAACTAGGGTTTTGAATCTGGAATCCGGTCCCTACGAAGAATCCAAATCCACCCCAGGTACTTCTAATTTCCTTTTTTAATTATAAACTTTAAATTCTATGGATTTTATTTGCCTAATTGGTTAACTAATCAAATTTGATGTTTTGCTTTTTTATTATTATTCATGTAGACACCCGTTTTTGTCCGAGTCTACCAAAAATATTATTTTATTAATTTTTTATTATTATTACTATTATTATTATTATTATTATTATTATTATTATTATTATTATATTCATACCTTTTGTTTTACAGGCCCAATTCCAGGCTCAACCCGAGCCCAATTACAAGTCTCACCCAACAGGTCCAAAGTAGTACAAGGCCCAACCCAGTTACAAACCAGTTGACCCAGCAACCCAACAGACAACCCGACTCGGAGGGGATCTGACCCGGCCCGATCATGTTACCTTAGGGTTTTTAAAACCCTAAAACTAAAGCTTCAGCTACCATCACTGTTACAGGAGCTAAACTGTCCACCCAGACATGTGTAATGCACGCACCAACTCTTTAACACCCAGACCGATGCGTGAGCCACCCGAAGATGATTCTCGAAGTTGCCTCGTCATCAACCTGCAAAACAGAAACCAAATCAATCCCATGTTATCATCTACAATAGCCTAATCTGCAGAACCCATTAAAAATAACATAAATCCAAAAAATCTGGGATTTAATCTAGCTATATTTAGAGAAATTCAACCCTTATACAGAGACTTCAAGATTATCACCAAAGCCAAGATTAAAAATACACGCAATGAAAGAAGGTGGATATCACCATAAACAAAAAATACATAGTAGAGAGAACAATATTGGGGATTCGGGGAAAAGCCAGAGAAAGAAACCTAGAGAAAAAAAGAGAGATATTCGAAAGAGATTCGAAAGAAAAACTAAAGAAAACTAAGAGGGAAATAATTTCACCGAGGGAAGGTTTGAAGCCTGTCGGAATATTAAAGGTCGTCGGAGACGAATAAATCGAAACGTTCTTCGTAGATTTACGTTGATAGATCCATTTCCAGGCAAAACCAACCACGGATCCATAACCAGAATGAGGAAACGCTTCGGGTCATACCATTTTCCCTCTGCTCCAGCGCTGGCCGGCGGCCGGAACGGCGGAGCTCCATCGGATTATGGGCTTCAGTTGAAGCTCCAGAGAGCTTTCTCTCATTCTCTCCCTTGTTGTGAATTGAAGAAGTGTGAAAATGGGGTGTGTGGGTTTCATAACCCATCAAAGAGGTTTATATATAAGCTTCGAAACGACGTCGTTTGAGGGTGGACTTGGGGAGCATTTTCTCGCCTGTGATATTCACAAGAAATGTCCTATTTATCTAGTAACTTTTCAATTTAGTCATCAATGCAACTTTAATTTATTTTTACTTTGATATCTTATTATGTGTATGTTGTAATTTCGTCCTATTATTATATAATATGATACTCTTAATGTTCCAATTTGGTCACAAGATTTGTAATTATTCTATTTGTCACTATTGGTATTTGGTTTAATTATTGTGTGTGTCCTTTATATTTCTGTTTTAACTATTTTAGTCCTTTAAGTTTTTGTATTCGCTATTTTAGTCCTTTAACTTTTTGTATTTACTATTTAGCTCTTTAAATTTCTGTTAATTATATTTTAGTCCCTTAAATGCTTATTTTTGGTATTTTATTTTGGTTTGTAATGTTTTTTGTTTTTTATTTTAGTCTTTCATGTTATCAAGTATGGTTAATTTATATCTTAAGCATATCATATTTGTATACATATTTATCTTAGTCAAACATTGGTAATTATGTTATACATGTACATATTTATTATTTATATATTTTAATTTATGTTTTTTATTTTTGGTTCTCACTACTAGAAAAAAAACCCTTTAATGACGTGCATTGTGCGTCATCTATGGGTGCGGATGACACACAAATGCTTGTCGTTGAAGCCACCGACATGAATCTCATATGACACGCAATTGTGCGTCATAAATTTATGATGCACATTTATGACACGCATTTATGATATGCATTTATGACGTGCATTTATGACGCTCATTGCGCTTCATTGAAGCCCCGTCATAAATGAAGACGACACACATTTGTGTGTCATAAATTTATGACACGTATTTATGACTTACATTGCGTGTCATTGAAGCACATGTCATTAGAAAAGATGACACACATTCGTATGTCGTGATTGTATGTCATAAATTATATATATATATATATATATATATATATATATATATATATATATATTGTAGATTGACAAATAATCAAACTAAATCACATTTAATGTCTCATAATACTAAATATATATCATATTATATATAAGCAATCCATTTGCATACAATATATTCACATTAAGTTATCAAAAATATTGTAATCATATGTCGATACAACATATCACGACATAATAAAGTTTGTCACATAAGATTCCTCAAAACCCTATACAAATATAGCGGGATTATGTTCTGTCAAAATGAATCATATATAGATGGAACGTTCAAAATATTTGATAACTTGAGCACAAAACATACAATGTCAGTAGGCGTTTCATGTTTCTGAGCACAGGAAAATCCTGACTTGGCCCATTTATATCACTAATCCTCCTACACAAAAGATAAATGCAATATTTGCAAACACATCAGTGTTGATCCTATGAACGTGTACAGATACGTGGTTTAAAATAGAGGAAAATTTTGAAGAAACTTACAAGTCAGTTAGATTTCTTAGTAAACTAAACGTCACTGCCAAATTCCGAGTTAATTGATTGGAGGGGAGCATCCTGAAATTAAAATGAGCATGAAAACAAATCATTTGATCAAGGCCAATTTAATAAGAAATTAAGAGAATCGTAAAATATTAAACAAAGAAGAAGAAGAAAGTACTGAGTTTTTCCTTACAAAGTTTCCAAGTTCACTAAATCCCCAAGTTCAGGTGGTACAGGGCTCAAAAATTGGGATAGATATTAAATACCACTAGCCCAAAAAAAGTCACTTAATCTTTATCTAGAACTTAAAAGGAGGACATTTCAAAAAAATTCGACTCATCAACAACATGACTAACATCGCAAGAAAACTAAGCATACAAATGGGAAAAAACCTCTTCCTAAATGCTTGCTAAATCAGGAAAACTTTAAGGACTAGAGAATAAAATAAATGACAGATTCAATTAATAATTGAAAAATCAGAACTCTTCGTCACTACTTTCATGTATAAACTGGTATACAAATACAGTTGTAAACTAGTAATGCTCAGTTCATGTTCTCTCAACTAAGTATTGACCAAAAACTAGTATGTGTAGCATGAATTGTTTTCCCCTCGTCCAACTTCTTGGATTTCTTACTATAATGTTATATAACACTGACAATTATAAATACCAAATATCATGATCTAATAATAACAAAGATAATCAGATAACACATTATAAAACATATGATTATTCTTAGTAAATTAAAGCTATATATGGGATAGATATTTTAATGCTAACAACAGCACAATTGTGCAAGAAACTATTCAATCTTTGAATTATAATTCAGTAGATTTTACATCAAAGTGTATACCCCTTCAATGTTTTTTCACTTCTGTCCATATAGTTGTTATCCTTCTTTCTTTCTTCTATCCTTATCGTCAACTAAGCACTAAAGGTCAGGCTCCAATAAAAACAAATGAACTAAATTAATGGGAGGAAGCTCAACTTAGCATTCACAGTCTTTATTTAA